AGTGTCGTGTGTATTAATGGGTAAAGCTACAGTAACGTCTTTCCTTTCCATATAAACTGGTTAAATCTCTTATGAGCAGTAAGATAACTGTATTCATCCGCAGAGCCGACGCACAACCAAAACAATGTTCTTCCGCAAAATGCATGCAGTTTTGCTTTTAACCACTAGAGGGCCAAACGTTACACAGTGTACCTTTAATTAGGGATGTCTCATTAATGCCAATTCACTTCCTCCATTCAAAATTTTAATTAACATGAAGTAGAATTAAAATTGAATAAGAAATTCATAGTTCTCCAAATCATGATTGAGAATACATTTCATTTTTTAGTTAAAATTGTAAGCATGTTCTCATTCAAAAACATATGAGAAACATATGTTTTATTTAATACATTAACGTCAATAATCACAAATTTTTTGTGGAAAATGTTTTTGTGGACATATGGGGGAGGTTTACAAATGCATTATATTCCACAAGTAATAATTGATATAAAAATGTATTCATTTTGGGAAATCTTCATTACGACTCTTATTCTACGTTCACACCGGACGCGAATAGCGCGTCAGGCGCAAACGATTTCAATGTTAAGTCAATGCAAAGAGGCGCAAATGAGGCATAGAGGATGTGCGCGATGCCTCGCGCGAACGAATTGAGCGTCTGCTGCGTTAAGCGCAAATTTTTAGTTAGTTCTATTTGTGCACTCACACGTTTGACGCGAATTCGCTGGCTCTATTTATCATCAAAACAAAAATAAATGACAGCAAGATTAGATGGATGAGAGCGATGGTGATCCTCGCTTCGATGCGGGACAACAGGTCATCAAACTGGCCGCGGGACAAACGGTTCGCCTCGCAAGGGTCCGGTGGACACAAATACGGCGACAATGATCCCCACGCCGCTATTCTACGTAGCTCTCCAGAGCAAATACAGTGCGGTGAATCTCTCGATGAATGCTTGATCAACATAAAAAAAGATGGCCGCCAACGGGTTTCGATTTTGACGCGTGAGACGCACGTAAATTTCGCTTCAAACTTTTGATTTTATGCGCGTCAGTTTTGCTCTTGACGCGCGATTTAACACAAAGTGGTCGAGCATCAAACTGGACGCGCTACTCGCGTCGGGTGTGAACGTAGCATTATAGTCAGGCATTGTAGTTGCAGAACAAAATCTGTTACATCGATTTATCGCTTAGTTGATTAATTATTTGCAATTATTATTAACTATTTTACATACAAACACCTGCTGTTACTGATGAACTGAGGTCAATAATCAACCGGATAGACTGATTCCTTTCCGTGTATACAGCAGTTGTGGAAGATAGAGAAAGCACAAAACACGTAGCGCACAGTAAAGAAAAGCCCAGCACAAGCACCAGCATCTGTCCGGCCCTCACTACATTCCTTGCAGGCCCTTAAATACAATCCACTGAGTGGCCTTGCTGAAAACTGTGGGTGTCGCTAAAAGCATTCAAACAATCCCGAATCCAAATCCCACCTAGGCTCACAACAGGAGACGAACTCGCTGCTTTCAGAGGCCGAGAAAACGCTATCCTCAACATGCAAATGAAATGAGCACACTCGCGTTTTCCAGCAAAAAGTGGGAATCGTGCATGTCATGTTTTACAGTTGTGTAGTCAGCATTAATACTAAAAGTACGCCTTGTGTGATTAGTTAAGAAACTGCGGTATCTGTATCTGAAATTTCATATATATATATATATATATTTATACACACACACATATATATATGATTCATCTTAAGATATTTTTATGTTTGCTCGCTTCTCCTGTTAAAATCTGTATTGTACTTTGTCCTGTAAATATATGTATAATTTTCTATCGTTTCTGAAAAACAAACAAACGAACGAACAAACTCTGTCATCATAAATAGAGTAAATGCTTTGTCTTTGGATTTGAGCCTATGATACAAGCAGAAGAAGATCATATAATCAATAGTGAATACCATTCAGAGCTGTAACGCGGAAAGAGAAGTGTTAGAAAAGCATGCTTACATATTCAACCTCTGGCAAACAAATAAAAAAAAAAAAAATCAAATCAATTTGGTATTGAACGTATGATATGGTTGTCTACCGACTACAAAGATTAAAACGGTTCTCTTTACTCTGTTATACTCTTCAAAAGACAGACTGCGTCGCTATACTCTAGTTTCAGTTTACAGGCTAGTCTGTAAAATCACAGAACAACAATGACCTCTTTTCACATCAACCATTGCAATATCGATTACGGCGCACACAATATTATGTCGATTATGTATAACAACGACTGCTCAAAAGCATATAGCATTAACATCCTCGAAAGGAAAGATGTCATCTCAAGCAAATTCAGCATCTAAGAGAAGAGAGGAAGAAGAGGAAATAGAAAGGAAGAACGACTTTTTCTTTTTTACGTTGTTGTTGTTTGTTTCGTTCAGATATATAAACGTTGACTTGTTCAATAGGGCATTTAAAATGCGTATAATCGTTAAAATTATAAAGGCAGGTTTGGATAGAAAAATGAATTTAAGTCAGGGGCACTTTGGACACAATATAACACTGTATATTGTAGTATAAAATAAGCTTCATTTTGGTGATTTCAGGGGTTAAAACACAATAAAACTCCCTTACTTATTAGTGGTCCTTTTGTGACATTTCAGATCTATTTTGTGATTATTATTGCTGGTAATCCTCTTACTTGCCTCATAGAGGGATCTGTCTGAAAGTTTATGTGTGTGTGTTTCATTTTAGGCAGTGAATATTGTTTTGTTTTTACTGTATTATTATTATCACAGAATAAAAATAACAGTATTACTGTGAGCTTTATTAAGCTTGGAGCTGTAAAAAGAGGCACTTCATCATTTTTTTTTCGTCTACAAAGGAGAGGCATTGTAAAACTCCACATGTACAGTGTTAGGTGTTGTTTTGGTTACAGTACTATCTGTTGTAGATGCTGATGAACACATGGATACTCTTGTTTTGGATTATTTCGACCATCGTGTGGTAGAGAATATCACGTCTTTGTTTGTTAGAAGACTGCAAGATGAAAGATAGATTGAATCTGACCGTTTTAAAAACAAATGGAGATCGTCCACTTAGTATTACAGGATGCGCACGATATTTTGTATGTTACGGAAAAACTCTGAGTAATATTCACTCTGTCAAGCGAGCAAAACATCTTCTGCTCCTACATAAATATTGGTGATGTTCTCCAAGGTCTTTTCTGTGCCCACAAGCCTATACTCTAGGAATAGATATTATTTATAAATTAAGATTTTTAACAAAACAAAAAAAGTACCTTTGTTAAAAAGCGAGGAGAAAAGAAGACTTACTGTAATAGCAAAGAGAGCGCTGTATCTATACTGTACACTGAAGAAAATTCATATGTATTGTAAAAATTACCATTTTAAGCAGAAACAAAAATAAAAGCTAATTCTACATTTATGAACTGTAAATATATACTGTAAGTAATGTAAAAAGTCTATCCGAACTAGCCATAGAAGTGATCGTCATAGTGCTTTTTAGATGCAATGGATCGACGACCGTGACGTTTATATTTTCGCGCACCTTTTTTTTCCGTTGTCGTCGCCGTAGTTCTTGCTTTTAGCTTTTTACATATGAACAAACACGGAGTGTCAGTAATATCGGACATTAAAGCCACTTCAACACAAGCGAGATGAGACGGCTTTAATACGTGAAGCCTGATTTGAGGACCATGCATGGTTATGAGCCTATACCAAGATGAGAAATCAGCGATTTGCACGTAGCCATACGTATATACGTCCTTCATAACCATCACCAGACAATCGTCCAATACTGTATTGCAAGGTTGCTTTTCCGTCCTCTACCCCTTTCGTGTGTAAAATAAGCGCAAGAAATTGCAACAGCACCTTCACAAGCAATATTGCATTTGGTTGCTTGATTCAAACATTGATTAAGGCTATCCTTAAAGACTAATGGAAACCCCCTCCCGCCCGACAAATGCTATTTGAACGATATAGCTTATCTACACTCTTAGAAGAAATGGTTCTATTTAGAACCAGAAATGGTTCCATCCCCCGCTTCATATATGAAACTCCACATTTTTTTTTTTTTGGTAAAAGGTTCTATTGGCCAAGTATGGAACCCCAGGGTTCTATATAGAACCCAGAGGAACCCTTTTTTGAAGAGTGTATAGAACCTTTTAGGGGTTCCAAATATGTAGCGCTGATAGAACCTTTTAAGGTTCTATATAGAACCTTTTCTTCTAAGAGTTGGAAGTGATATTGATTTATCTGCTCTCTAGTAGCACTCGTTAAGTGTTTTAATGGTGGAAATGTTCACGTTTAGGTTGGCGTATTCCAATTCCATACGGACTGTGGGTGATATCAACGATTGAGAACCAAGAAAACTACAAATGGATGAGTATCAGCGCCAATAATCTCCTTGATTATCCAAAAAAGGATGAGTGGCGACTCATCACGGCAAGCTTCTCACAAATCACGTTTGCTGATACAAAACCAAGCTTTGCAGCATAAAAAGCGATGTTTGGTCTCACAGCACGATACAGAATATTCAACAGGCGTGTCGTCGTCGCACTGGGTTAGGCCAGATCAGACCATTCAGAGTAAACTGCGTCACGTTATTTATCGTGGGGAATATAGTAATGATTGTTCTCGAGAAAGTTGCCAAATGTGTGTAAAACTACATGTCGTCACTGTTGCCGTACCTGTACTGCATATTGCAAAGGAAGCCCTACAGTTCAGGCGTCACAAATTGTACAGCACACACATAGAGACATACCAGAGGATTATACACACACACACACACACACACACACACAAACATGTTGCACACACATGCTCATACAAACACACACATAAATGTGCTTGATCCCTAGACAGCACTAAAAGCTTTGCACAACGACCCTCTCGTAGAAACTTACTTGTTCTAAAAGACATTTATCATATATTTAGGCACACACTACAATTTTTTTTAAACGTGATTTTGTGGTTTTATGGATTTTTTTTTGTTAATGTTTGTTTTTTTGTGATTTTTTTTTTTTAGTTTGGTATGAATGAGAAGAAAACCGAGCATCTGCTTGGATGAATTAACTGCATCGGGATGAAAGTGGTGTAAGCGATACATCATTAGGATCTGACCAGGGATAAGCTCACAATGCTTTAAATATAAATAAAGAAGAAGAAGAAGAAGAAGAAGAAAAAAACCTTGCATAAACAGCACAATAGCAAGTGATGATAACAAAGCCATGAAAAATGTAATCATCTAATAATAAAAATAAAAAAAGGAACAAAGCTACTCAAACACAAGTGAACTATAGAACCAAATATTTGAGAAAAACAAAACAAAAACAAGATCATCTCTAAAAACTAGAACATCTCTGGTAACAGTAGTGCACTTATTGGTTTAAGCAGTGCAACATATATGCAAGAAAACAATGCAGTCCTCTTATCAAGCTTTTAAGAAAAGATATTTCCTTTATAAACAAAGAGAAATCATAGAATTTAATTTCTTAAGTAAAACAATTCAATGTTTAAGCACAGGATTTTGAAGTAAATGTGCAAAGTAGCACTGTATTTCAAACCTACAACTTACGCGACCAAATCCCGAACTGGAAAAAAGTCTGATTGATGCGTTTTTACGACACTTCAAAGATGTATCTACTCAGATAAGTGAGTAAAAATTGCCTGATTGCAGTTGCACGGCAAATGAGTCTTTTATATCCATGAAATACGCGTATAACAAAGAGCCAAATATGAACGCAGAGCTTCCGAGTGACGTAACACCAAAAATACAACCTTCTGAACTCACTTCCGAAGCACACACACACACACACAATGTCTAGATATCGGTAAAACTGGGAATGTTTCTTATTGTTTGGAGAGCTGTGGTATATTAAAGAAGAATGACCGTGTTTGTTTTACTGTGTTTTTTTTTTATTTTTCTGTTGCCTATATCCTTCCCTTTCTCTCTTGTATTTCCAATCAGGCAAAAAACAAGGACGGCTGTTTGAGCCACTAGGTGGGGCTTGAGGAACAGGAGTAGTGCATTTTAGTCACCCCACCGGCCCAAACAACTGAGTCACAGTAGTCGCCACGAACAGGAAATACACCATATTTTAGGAGGTTATTTCTGTCCAGTTTGCTTTTGATCTAATCTAGCCCATGGCTCCAAATAGCTTAACGTTTCCCATGTTCACTGAGAACTACTAATAATTAGAGACATATCCACCTAGCGTTGGATTCTACAGCTGATAACAGTCTCAAAGTGAGCATGTGAGGAGCAGCAATTGGATTGGATTCTGGGCCTGTTTGCATACTAATATCTGCCTTTTTCCCCCTCCTTGAAAAATAATAAAAACCAGAACCACGGAGCAAATGAAAAACTTTATATCACGTTTCGTTTTTGAAGCGGAAGAGGTCAACTAACAGTCGTCTTCTTAGTGGCAGTGTATGCGAAACGAATTGGAAATTATTAACGGCATTCAAAGTTTTTGCTCGAATACTGTCATCGATAAACTTTTGTTTGTTTTGTAAACTTGACCTGAACCATTAAAAAAAAAAAAAAAAGTGTGGCGGGAGAAAAGCAAAATAATCAATCATTCATCCATCAAGCCACTTGAAGATTCCCATTTTAGTACAGTTAGTAAAACTGGCTTGTACCTTGACAACATCAACATCATAATCCCTCAATGCCATAATAATAAATAAAAACCCAGTGTCAAATTGAACAACTCTCCTGTTCTTATCGCATGTAAAAAGGCAAACATGTGACCATCAATATTTTAGAATGAATCTAGAGCCAAATGTTTAGTTTTTTTTTTTCAAGGTTTTTTTTTTTGTTTTTTTTTTTAATAATCTATACCACAGTAAGCTTGGACGCTTATAGTGTCCAATACGGTCTACATGGGAAAAGATCTACAAGTTTAAAAAAATTCACTGCAATGTTTATTTTTGTGCACACGCGCACGCTCACATGCACAAACACACATACGTACAAAATACCTCTACCATATATAAGTGTGTATAAGTAGTTTGTGCGTGTAAGTGCATGCATGGGTATGTGTATTTGTGTTTGCGTATGCCAGAGTGTGTGCGAGCATGTGAATTTTTTTCTCTTGTGTGTTCTTTCGCAGGCCTTTCGGTAGTGTTCAACACATAAATCAGTATTTAAGGAAAGCATACATTTAGAGGCCAGTAGTATGGATCCAGCCAGTGGATCATTATCCAACTACACAGCCTTAAGGCCACCATCTTTTTTTATTCTTTAAGAATAGCAAGGACAAAAGAAAAAAAAAAAAGGAAAGGAAAGAAATTAAAAACGCTTCTTTTTTTTTTTCTCTAGAAAACTTAATGTGCCAGTGTCTATACTCATTACTCTTCATGCCCCAATATAAGAAAGAAAAAACAAAAATCTAGTGCCGTTTTCTTTATCATTTCATTCTTTTTCGTGTTAACGCAAGTTTGTACTTATCCGTCGGAGACATGCTTGCGCATGTGGTCATTGAAGTGCTCGATTTGGTCAAACTTGACAGGGCACACGGAGCACATGTAGGTGGTCCCCTCCTGGCAGCTTGCTTCGGCAGCCACGCCCACTCCGGTGCTCACGACTCCACCCCCGGCTCCGCCCCCTCCCACCGGCATGGCCAGGGCCACCACTCCCGCTCCCGGCTCGGGGACGGCCATCGGGACTGGGATGGACACGGGACCTCCGACGCTTCCTGCGGCACTGACCCCGGTGACCCCGGTCCCGGTGCTGTGCAGGGCCATGTGGCGCTCCAGCAGGGTCTTGTGGGAGAACTTCTTCTTGCAGATGTAGCACTCGTAGGACTTCTCTCCGCGGTGCAAGCGCATGTGGACGTTGAGGGAGCTCTTCTGGGTGAAGCGTTTGTTGCAGATGCTGCACTGGTACGCTCGGACTCCTGTGTGTGTGACCATGTGTTTGATGAGATAATCCTTCAGCGAGAACGAACGCCAGCAGATGCTGCACTGGTGCGGCTTCTCACCTGCAAGAGCACACACTCATTAGAAAGGAAGCGTTCGCTAAAGCGCTCTTGCAGAAACCGTTGTCATATGACTTGAAAAGTTGACATGGTAACACTTTACTTGAAGGGGTGTGACAGCCTCATAATCATGAATATGAAGTAAGTTTTATGCATGTTTGTGACAACTGTCTGTCATTAAAGGAGAAGTTAACTTTTAAAACAACTTTTGCTGATAATTTACTCACCCCCATGTCATCCAAAATATCGATATCATTCTTTCTTCAGTCGAAAAGAAATTAAGGTTTTTGATGAGAACATTCCAGCATTTTTCTCCATATAATGGACTTTAATGGGAACCAAACACCTGGTGTTATTGAAAAATATCATTTGTGCTATATTATTTGATAAAAGCTCATGTGATAATGGCAGCATTTTTAAAAATAAACATATAAGATTACACAGACTACATTTAGACCCGAAGACAGATCATTATTGCATAGTAATCTACAAATGTAATTATATTATCTTAACTCAACATTGCCATACTGAATGCACTTTTGAGGGCTGGGTACTTTACTGTGTGAGACTGCTTCAGAACTGATGTGACTCAAGTCAAAGGTTCAGAATAATAGTTTGCAATACGATTTTGCAAAACAATAGATATTCTGGCAATCTGTGTTTTTACTGTTATACAGTAGGGGGCGCTGTTATGCATCTACTGAAATAGTCCAGCCTCTCTGGATCCAAAAAACGATCTGCGTAAACCAGGACAGGGCTGCATCCGAATTCCCTACTATATACAACAGTGTGTGACAAAAGTAGTATGTCCAAAATCACAGTACTCATAAAAGAGTACCCGGATGATCTACTACTTCTGGTGAGGTTACAATCCCATGACACCATAGCGAATGTCGAACATCAGATTTTACCCACCCATTTTAAAACGCTGCCGGGGAAAGAGTCAAGGATGTGCTTGAAAGTTGGTTTGGGGGGGAAAAAAAAAGTATTTTTTTTTTAAAACATCTTCCCAAAATGTAAATTATTCTGTGGCATGTCAAAACACACAGTAGGCGCAGACTTTTTCCTGGGAAAAGATCACACTTATACAGTATCTATATATGTATATATATATATACAATGAGAAAACTTGAACTAGCATGCATTTGGCAAATAGTGTGAGTATATTAGGGACTTTGCCTAAGGGAAAACAGCTATTAAAGATGGAGTCATACAGTAAATTGACCTGGTAATTCTGTGTCAACCAATGAGCCCCGAGTTCATTAAGTAAAAACTTTAATTATTGACTATGGTAGTTATGAAAATATTTTAATTATACACAAGAAAGGCCTTTTGGCACATATGATAAAAAAAAAAATTATCATTTTGGTCTCATGGCTTGTCATGCCTCAAGAGGGTACAGAACAGGATAAAGCATTTGCTTAAAAAGTTTGAACTATTAACGTAAATTATAGATAATAGGCAGCTGATATGTGTTAATCACAGCGCTTTTAGGTTTTAAGTGGCTATAGTCACTCACACGACCACTTATACTGTTTGCATTTTATAAGCTCACGAGGGGAAAGGAACTCAACACATTTGGTATGCCTTGCTACCTTAAGCTACTGTATGCACTGACTGAACAGTTTCTCAATTTCTGGCATAGGCTTAGAAAATACACAGCCTCATAAATGACGCTTTCATAAATGCATATTCTGGTTCTATTGAGCTGTGTCTGAAAGCCCAATAGTTGAGGTCCTAATGATTGCTGAAATAAATGTAACAATGCTTAATCCACAGGATGATTCACACCGAGAAGTTAATAATTGCTACCAATTATCCATTTAGAATCAAAAGCTTACCTTAATTAGCTTTTCTGTAAAAGCGATTTCGATCAAAAAAAAAACGTAACTACATACATAATAGAGAGATGAAGGCCAAGGGTACTCACCAGTGTGCACAAACATGTGCTTGACGAAGTTCTGTTTGGCAGTAAAGGTCTTACAGCAAAGAGTGCATGCGTAGGGCTTCTTTTCCCCATGCTGCCCCCCCGCCGCAACACCTTGCTGTTGACCTCCACCGGGTGGCACCGTCAGCCCGCTGGGGTACGGAGGCATGCTGGGAGAGGGCACTGCCACAAACTGCGGCTGCTGATTCCCAATGGACTGGGGCAGACTGAAGAGGAAAGGCTTGTTGTCGCTGGCTGACTGGGTTGCGAAGAGCGTAGGCAAGTAAGTGTTGCCCGCCGTTCCCATTACCTGGGAGTTGCTGGTCAAGGTGAGGGGCATGCGCAGGTTGCTGGTAAGTGGCTCACCTGGCCGCAGGTACGGCCCGCCTGGCATCGACTGCGAGACTGCGAGGTTTGCTTGAGGCGGCTGGTTGACTCCGAGCTCAGCGCTCTCTTGAGAAGGGCCGTTCCCACTGCCCTCTTCGACCGCTTCTTGGGTCTGCTCGGGAGATGAATCGTTGACCTCGATCTGCACGGGGGTTCCCCGCTCACCTTGCTGGCCTTTATTCAGACAATTGTCTCGACCGAACCCAGACAAGAAAGGCTGCTCGACGGAATCCGTCTCCGTGCCGATGGAAGAGCTGACGCCGGAGTCGAAGCTCTCGCCTTTGGGCTCGCTTTCGATGCACTCCAGCTGCTCGCTGTCCTCGCGACAGTCCACAAGGCCGTAGCAATTGTACTCGTCCCCTTGTTCCTGCTTGATGTGAATGTCCCCAGTGTGGAGCCTCACGGGGCGAGGCTGTTTGCGGCAGTGCGTAGTCTCCGACGTGACCAGAAAGCGCTCCATCTGTTGCGAGCGCTCGTGGATGCGTGTGATCCAGGCAGGGTCCTGCCCTCCCTCCTTCTGCTGGAGTTGAAGGGGCGAGTCGTAGCTGGCCGTCACCGCGGCATTGGTGTAGTGGGAGCGGTTTCCACGGGTACCGTTTTGCAGGCCCAAGCCGGAGCAGCTGGAGTAAAGCGAGGAGTAAACGCGGTCAAGGCTCTGGTGAGATGTTTGCATGTAGCCTGATTCGGCATCACTACTGGGACCGGACGTGCCAGACTCGGGAGTTCCCCGCGGCGTCTCCTGCCCCGAGTCCCCCGGGACCACGGAGAAGCTGCCAGATCCACCAATGCCAACATTCTGTGAAACAATGCGGGTGCACTCGTCGATGACGGTCTTGATCTGGAGTATGCTGGCAGCGGTGAGGATCTGCAGGGCCTCGGACTGGGAGACCCGCAGCACGCCGCTGTACATGAAGTCAATCAGCTTCTGGACGGACTGTACAGAAACCACAGAGGGGATCTCGATGTCACTGTAGCCCAGGAGCAGCTTGTCCTGAAAGAAGGGGCTGCCTGCAGCCAGCACACAACGGTGAGCTCGCAGCATGCTACCATGGATCCGAACAGTCACGTCACAGAAGTGCCCGCGGTTTCGCTGCTCATTGAGGGTCTCAAGTACAGAATTGCTAAAGTTGTGGAGATTAATGTGGTGAATGCGTTCGGTCATCCCCTTGCACCTGATGTCACCTGGGTGGCAGACACAAACACAAACCAGATCAATCACATATCCAGCAATATTATAAATATCCAGCACTATGATATTTGTTTTTGGGTGGTGATGGCGCAGTGGATAAGACACATGCCTTTGGTGTGAGAGACCCAGTGTCCCTGAGCAAGACACTTGGAGGTTTCAAAGCCTTCTGGCGTGCGACCTCTGACATATATAGCAATTGTAAGTCGCTTTAGATAAAAGCATCAGCTAAATTAATCAATGTAATGTAAAATGTTGATTTGACTGCACTGACACTGTAGCATGAGAACTGAGCTGGACGATGAGATCATCTTCATTTAGCTGACGCTTTTATCCAAAGCGACTTACAATTGCTATATATGTCAGAGGTCACACGCCTCTGGAGCAACTAGGGGTTAAGTGTCTTGCTCAGGGACACATTGGTGTCTCACATTGGATTCGAACCTGAGTCTCTCACACTAAAGGCATGTGTCTTATCCATTGCGCCATCACCACCCATTAACTAATGTTAATTAGATGGAATTAACTAATGTAACAATTGACGATCTTCACAACGGAACTGAATCAACACTGAACAATGACACTATTTTCTATTTTCTATGTTTTACAGCCAAAATTAAAGGTATACTCCACTTTTTTGTCATTTTACAACTCCCCCAGTTTTACCGTTTTCGAATCTATTCAGCCGATTTTCTGATATTTATCAGTAACAAGACAGTTTCTGGTCTCAGAAACTGTCTGGTTACTGATATTCTTCTAAATATAAAAAAATCGGCTGAATGAATTCGACTTACAATTGCTATATATGTCAGAGGTCAAAATGAGCCTATTCCCAAAAAAAGTGGAGTATCCCTTTAACTCTGTTTGAATCATTTTCCTGTTATCACTGTTAAACTGCTAATCTGTATTGAAAAAGGGCTAGATAACTTGACATGATTTTACATTTTCTGAAAAATATGTACTGTAAGCTACACTTTCAATGTCAGCTATTGTGAATTTGTACAATATGTGGGTGTCGATGTATGTTCAAAATGGATTCCAACAGTGTTTGTACAAAATCAAATGCTTAAAACTAAAAATAAGTAAAAACCTGCATCAATGATGTTAAATAGGGGTGTTTGTCACCTGAAGGATCTTTTTCAAAAAGTTAAGAAAAGAAAAAGCTAAGAAAACACAAAAATAATAGATGCTAGATGATATAACAGATAACAGAAAGAGTGTCCCTGGAATTTTCCACACACGCTATTTGCAAAAATCAAGAAGACAAAGCTTAGACTGTGAAATGTATACATAGAGTTTGCCATTGCTGCTGTAATTCAATTGCCTTAATAATGACCAATAAATAAACCATTGTCAACCACAGACATGTGCTTCAATCTTGCATAATCTTATGGAATGTGTATTGCTGACCTTTAATTGCTGACATTCTCTCTGTAGAATGTGTATTCATTTTCTGTCTCTACCTTATGGGAAAAATGGTCATGGGTCATGTTGTTTGTATTTAAGAACAATGTCCTGTTGATGTGGAGACATTATAAGCATTTATTTAAGAGCTACACCCCAGTACTATATACTGCAGCACGAGTAAGAGAAGTGTGGTAGTATATTTACATATGATTATTAAATGTAGGCTAGCAATATATATATATATATATATATATATTAGGGATGCACCGCTATGATAATTTTGTCCGATACCGATAATTCTTTATATTTGAAAGCCGATAACCGATATATTGGCATCTAAATCCACATTTTTAGACAATTTTTGAGAGCCTGATTATAGAAAAGTCTCCTCATTAAAAGCCAAGATACAAAGACAATTATGATGTTCTTATTTTAATGTTTAAAGACTTGCGCTGCACATTTTGCACTTTAACTGGATTTTCCTTTTTTAAAGTGATTTCAATCGTATTTCAAGCAATTTAAAAGCATCATGTTGAACAGTGCGCATCTAAAGTGCCTCAGCTGAAGGAAATAATAATACATTATTTATCGACTTTTAGATATCAGCTAAATGTTCTTGTTGGGCCGATAACGATAACATAAAAAATGATCATATATCGGCCGATACCGATAATGTGGCCGATATATCGTGCATTCCTAATATATTTATATATAAATATATACATACTGTAGAAACAGGATGGAGCTAAACTGTGCCGGAAAATGGCACTCAAGGAGCAGGATTGAAACCTCCGCCATCCATCCACACATGGATTTATAATGCAAAATTATCAGGGTTAAGTAATTGGACACCACTTGCTAATGTAATGGGGTCGTATGACAAATATAGTGAGGTCATGTGATTATTAAGCAGCATAATATTTATTGAGGAATAATCCCTCCTGTTTCACTTACTCCTTTTAGAACTCAGTAGTTAATATACAGTGTACAGTGTTCAGTTTTCAATAAGTATAAGCTAGTGTTCCATGCCAAACGTTTCTTCCACAGAATATAATATCCCACAATGCAATTCTCTCAAATTTATCTTTTTAAATGAACTATCTCTTTAAAGCAGTTTTATAAGTAATAGTAATATAGTGCATGGAATATAATTGCCACACAACAAAAATATTTAAATATTTAATAACTAATGAAGGCAAATTAAAACAAATAGTGATCCGTTTACATTGTAGCCTAAAATCTTCATGTTGAATCCAAGTTCATGTTATTTTTCAAATATTATATTTAAGTAAAAATAAAGTATAAAAAATATAATTCAACACTAAAAACAAAATATCATGATATCCCAAAGACAGAAAAGTAAATGCAATTTTTAACCCTTAAGGCCCGTTCACACCAAGAATGATAATCACTGTATTTAATAGGACTGAAAGTGATTCCAATGATATAATTTCTCTGTGTTGTTATTTTTATTGTTGTGGACTCTGCTATTCTTTTATATTCAGAACGAATTTTGGATCTATATTGTCTTTATAACTATGGACCTTTGTGTGAACGGGCCTTTAGCCAGTAAAACACAATAATTCTACAAAATCTAGAACTAATTTCTGAATCTAAAATGTAAACATATAGATAGATGATATTAAATGTAGGACTGTCAAACAATTAATCGCGATTAATCGCATCCAAAATAAAAGTTTGTGTTTACATAATATATGTGGGTGCACTGTGTATAATTATTATATATATACTGTATATATAAATACACACACATTCTTGTATATATTTAAGAAATATTGTCATGTATATACCATATATAGATTTATATTAAATATTTTATATATAAATAATATTTTTTTCTTAAATATACATGCATGTGTGTTTATTTATATACTGTATATATAAAATAATTATACACAGTGCACCCACATATATTATGTAAAAACAAACTTTTATTTTGGATGTGATTAATCGTGATTAACCGTTTGACAGCCCTAATTAAATGATAAACATGTATCCTTTAGTCCAGGAGTTTTCAAACCTGTCCCGGAAGACCCCCGGCACTGCACATGTTGCATGAGTGCTTCTCAATATTAAGATTCCCTCGCTCCTCCACCCTGTGACCCGGAAACAGATCAAAGTTAGACATCTTGAAGGACCTCTCAATTCTCCAATTGCACCGCGAGAAGGCGAGTGACGAGTGGAATAATGAAGTCTTTTCCCTCTTAGCAAAAAATATCTGGAAGTTCTAGATGCCAAAAGATTCAGTAGCACCTCATTGCAGTACACGAAATCCAGGGGGCGGAGTCGGATCCAGATCTAAGGAGTGGAGTTGGGTAGGTTTAGGGGAGGGTTTAGGAATCAGGGGGCGGAGCTTGGTAGGTTTAGGGATCAGGGGCGGAGCTGGATAGGTTTAGGGGTGGGTTTAGGGGGCAGAGCTTGGTAGGTTTAGGGGTGGGTTTAGGGATCAGGGGGCGGAGCTGGGTAGATTTAGGGGTGGGTTTAGAGATCAAGGGTGGGGCTGAGTAGGTTTAGGGGTGGATTTAGGGATCAGGGGCGGGGCTGGGTAGGTTTAAGGGTGGGTTTAAGGATCAGGGGGTGGATCTGGGAAGGTTTAGGGGTGGGTTTAGAGATCAGGGGTGGAGCTGGGTAGGTTTAGGGGTGGATTTAGGGATCAGGGGGCGGGGCTGGGTAGGTTTAAGGGTGGGTTAAGGGATCAGGGGGTGGGGCTGGGTAGGTTTAAGGGTGGGTTTAGGGATCAGGGGGTGGAGCTGGGAAGGTTTAGGGGTGGATTTAGAGATCAGGGGGCAGAGCTGGGTAGGTTTAGCGGTAGATTTAGGGATCAGGGGGCGGGCTGGGTAGGTTTAAGGGTTGGTTTAGGGACCAGGGGTGGAGCTGGGAAGGTTTAGGGGTGGATTTAGGGATCAGGGGGCGGGGCTGGGTAGGTTTAAGGGTGGGTTTAGGGATCAGGGGGTGGAGCTGGGTAGGTTTAGGGGTGGATTTAGGGATCAGGGGGCGGGGCTGGGTAGGTTTAAGGGTGGGTTTAGGGATCAGGGGGTGTAGCTCGGTAGGTTTAGGGGTGGGTTTAGGGATCAGGGAATGGAGCTGGGTAGATTTAGGGGTGGGTTTAGGGATCAGGAGTGGAGCTGTTCTTTCCCAGGGTTTATCCCATCCCATTTGTTTAATTTTCAAACCTTCTTACTTCTGCTTAAAGTAATAAATTAACTATTAAAAAAAGAAAATGTAATCCAACTGATCAGGATAGTGTTTACATGTACAAAGAATAGAGCAGTTTGACTAATGACTGATGAATGTTTTCTCCACTGTGTAATATCAGTGAGATGAGATAAGATATACAGCATAGCATACAGTACGTGTGACCTCATGACAGATTCACGTAGGCCTCAAAGTTTTCCTGGCTTCCATAAGACCCTTAAACGCAGCTGATGATACTTTTAAGTGATCGAGTGATCAACCTATACCCTCAGTCGCCATTAACTATTAGTCCACTGGAAGGACTGAATAAAAACGAGTGAGTGAATTCAGACACCACATTTGTAAAGTTTGTACTTGCTGTTTAATAATCAATTGAAACTTAGCAAACTGGCAGCTCCAGTAATGAAAAGACTTATCTTGAACTCTGTCATGGAAACTATGTACAAGCCTTAATTAAACAATTTAATAATAAATTAAAAATGAATATATTCCTGGATGATATTACGCTGTGGCCACATTGGACCAGCAGAGCACCAAATGGATGGTTGATTCAGCTGCGAAATGGTGCTGGAAATTCATTTAGAGCGACCCTCACAGTGCATTATGGGTAGCCGTTGAGTTAACATACTCGTTATTGCGGTGCATTATGGGAATGAGAGCACTCCATAATGTCCACTATGATTTCAGACGCCACTACAAATGGCTGTTCCCTCAAATAGGGGGTGATTTCGGACACATGCCTGTCTCTGACACACACACTACATGAGCTGATGAGTTGAATCAGGCGTATTAGATGAGGGAGCCACACAAAATGTGCAGTGCAGGTTTGAAACCCTTGTTTTGGCCTAATAGCCAGGTCATTTGAGTAAATCCTACCAAACAGCATTAAACATCCCAAATTAGCACACCGGAGACATTATTTATGAAAAGTGGCTGGAAAACAGTGACCTAAAAAAGCTCTGCTTTGACAGACAGAGGGCAGTCTTGAGCTAGTGTGTGAACCGGCCAGCACTCGTCTGCACATGCAGCATGTGTTTCGCTTTTGCGTTACATTTGAAATCAGAAATTAAGTAAATCAAATCAATCGAGCTATGATGGGTCCATGGGATGGTTATTCATGCAATGAATTATTTTCAGCCTTCTCTGAAGCTTACATCAACGCTGGTCCGTCTGTCTGTCTATACAAACACTTTTGGAGAGAACACAAAATGTCTACTTTCTATGAGGTGCTGCGCCCTTTTTCAACAGAAGGCTTTGAAACCTCCTAAAAATGCCCAGAAACACTTTTGAACACCAATCGTATTCGCTGTGGACAGTAGTGACATTAGCTCCCTTTGCAAAACGTCACCTTTCAGAAACCTCAGAAACATGGCAAGGCGACACATTTCCATTTTGACTCCTATGTATTATTGTTTAATGTTATTTTCAGGATAATTATTCTCTATTAGTACTCATAAACAGTATTTAAAGTGCATGAATCAGACCGTGTATGAACATGTGTGTGAGGGTTACATGTCAGAGTTATTTTAACCACACAGGAATGTATATGCAATGTATCATGTTTTCCACTGATGCATATATGGACTGAAGTATTCTCTATAAGGATTGTGTAACACGATGTATACATCTATTTTGAACATCTACACTGCCGTTCAAAAGTTGGCTCACTCTTATGCTCACCAATCTATTTGATTTGATTATATTTTTAAAAGTAATTTATTCCTGTGATCAGCATCATTTCTCCAGTCTTCAATGTCACATGATCCTTAAGAAATCATTCTAAATTGCTGATTAGTAACATTTATTATTATTATTATTATTATCATCAATGCCAATTCATTTCATGAATAGAAAGTTCAAAATAACAGCATTTATCTGAAACGGCATTATACACACCATCATCCAAAGGTTTGGGGTCAGCAAAAATTTTTGACATCTTACCAATCCCAAACTTTTGAACGGCAGTGTACTTTCAGTATGAACAACGTGTTCTCTCCCGTGATTCAATAACAACGGGGATACACTCCCATAGCTCATTACAATAGCAAACTTTAAAATAGCAGTGTTTAGCATTCCCAAGAAAACACTGAAATATCATTTATCTACTCGTATCATATGTTTTCAAGAGCATTTAAATGTTAGTGTGGTGAAAAAGGATGTGAAAAGACAGGTTAGCAGAACAGACCATTCATTTAGGATTCATAGCAAACAACATGCAACCTTTGAAACTTAAAGGATGACACTGCAGGCAAGCATCGTTTTTGAAGGTTATCGATGCAAAGTGTTCTTTTAGACAGCAGAAACACCGTGTTCTTGTGTGTCTAGACATGTTTCTGTAAAACGTTAAACCTTTTTTAAAATCTGTGTGTGTGTGTGTGTTGTTCAGGTATTCAGAACAGAACGTATGGGGACAGAAAGGGGATTTTTTTTTTTTGTTCCTAGGATGTTTTGGTTAGTTCATAGCACAGGACATTTCTACATGATCCCTTGTGAAAAAAAAGTGTCCTTAACTATGGCCCTGTTCCAAATAGCACACTAAATACTTGCGGTCTTCTTACAAATCTGCTCTTTCGTGGCGTAACGGACTGCCTGACACCTCAAATGACACATGGGACGCCCTATGGTAGAGGGATCCACGATCACACACACACACGGAGGCCGTTGTAAGTCCACAGTTATGAAAAGTGCCATTTGGGACAGGATAGGACCTTCGTATCTTAATAGTCTATTTAAAAACGGTCTTTGCAGATAATATAATAAAACTTCTTGAGACACATTTAAAAAGCGCACTTTGTAATAATTTCAAATTAAAGGCTGTACTTTAAGTTAAATTAAATAATTATGTTGAGTAATCTTTGTGGTGCTTTAAAGAAGTAGACTTATTTTGATGTGTTGACTAACATAGGCTACTAAAGCTGGTGTGTTTTTCGATCTTACATTTAAAGTTAATGTATTTTAGAAAGTTAGTTTTCAATATATTTTGGCTTCCCGTAAATGTTTGTCAGTACATACTAGATTTCATGTAAGTGGGCAACTTTAAAATTCAGCTAATCTCATTTCATATAAATTTAAACGATAATGCACGATCAATGAAGTGCAATTAACATTTAGTTACGTGTCCAAAAACATTACCTTCAGTTTGCATGTAAATATATTCAAACTTAAAGTATATGATTTCCATAACAAGTACTCTTTTTGAAAGTATGCTAAAGTGTTCTTATTTTTCACAAGGGTATCCTTTTAAGAAACAGAACTGGCAGACAATTCAATGGCAGTTAGACAAGTGTGTGTGTGTGTGTGTCTTTTCTGTAGGGAGCACAACAATAGTGATAAGCAAACATATTCAACTCTGAAATCAAAAGAATTAATATTTTGCAAAAAGAAAATGTTCATTTGTTAGTATTATGCCATTATTTTCATGACAATTAAGCACGTTCCTCATCCATCCCCCACCCCTAAATTCTCATTACTGTAATGCATCCATTTTACTTTAGAGATTTTATGTAATTCTCATTATTTTCAATGATGATTTTCATTATATTCTCATTACTGTAATAAAGCTTAGCCTTCCCCTGACCACGGGCATGACGTGTATATACATGAGTGCAGATGTACAGTAGTGATAGAGAATTCAGTTTGCAGCTCTAGGAAAATGCTTCCTGTAACCCAAATGCAGTTATGCCTATGTTTGTGTATATTCAACACACAAAGTATATGGTGCAAACAGGTGACTTTCTCTTCTGTATGCTGTGGTGTCATTTTTCAATAACGAAGGAAGAGAGGTTGTGTGTGTGTATATATATATATACTACCGGTCAAAAGTTTTAGATCAGTAAGATTTTTTATGTTTTTAAATGAAGCCTCTTCTGCTCACCAAGGCTGCTTTATTTGATGAAAATTTGATGACTAACAGTAATATTGTGAAATATTATGACAATTTAAAATGACTGTTTTCTATTTTAATATATTTTAAAATGTAATTTGAAAGTCGAATTTTCAACATCATTACTGTTGCTGATTACACATCAGTTTTCAGTGTCACATGATCCTGATTTTATGCTCAAAAAATGTAAATTATTATTTTCAATGTTGAAAACAGTCGTGTACCATTTTACCCCCCAAATTCTATGATGAATAGAAAGTTCAAAAGAACAGCATTTATTTAAAATATAATCTTTTCTAACATCATAAATGTCTTTACTGTAACTTTTGATCAATTTAACTCATCCTTGATGAATAAAAGTATTTTCTAATTTCTTTCCCCCAAAAAAAAAAAAAAAAAAATTCTTACTGCCCCCAAACTTTTGAATGGTAGTGATTAATGTTACAAAAGCTTTCCATTTCAGATCAATTCTGTTCTTTTGAACTTTCTATTCATCAAAGAATCCTGAAATAAAAATGTAAAAAACTGTTTTCAACATCATAAATGTTTCTTGAGCATCATATTAGAATAATTTCTGTAGGATCATGTGACACTGAAGACTGGAGTAATGATGATCACAGGAATAAATTACACTTCACTATATATTCACATAGAAAACCACTGTTTTAAATTGTAATAATATTTCACAATATTACTGTTTTTTTTGTATTTTTTATTAAATAATTGCAGCCTTGGTGAGCAGAAGAGAGTTCTTTTAAAAACATAAAAAATCTTACCGATCTAAAACTTTTGACCGGTAGTGTGTATATATATATATATATATATATATATATATATATATGCAGGTCATCACATTGCAAAACAAGCTTGACAAATGGTCTGTTATTAAGCATTAATCAACCAGAGAGAAATGAATGAAGCTGGGCAAACTTACAGTCTGATGGTGTTCTGTTAGGTAATTGTGTGTATGTGGGTGCGTTTGTGTATCAGGCTGGTGAAGAGGCACTGGTTAGATGCTACAGGTTGCTGGTGGTGGTGGTGCAGCGGAAGAGGTCAGTCGTTAGCCACTCATTTCATTTCGGTCTGGCCACAATCTAACCTCATGCAGAATCGATGTCGCCCTGCGAATAAAGCAAAGAGAACATTTATTGCATGCCTTTTTTAAAAGGCAAATTGTGCAACCTTTTCGGAGTAATAATGTTAAATCCAATTTTTTTCATCAAATTAACAAGCAATCAATATACACCCAAAAAATCAAAGACTGTTAATTTTATTTGGCAATTAAGTACGGTTGATTTTTCACCAATCTAAGCATGTGTATCACTCCGCGTTCAGCCATTTTAGTGCTGGTTACGTTGTTGCATTTTGGTGGCAGTGGACTGAGCAAGAGTTCAGGGATAGTTCACTTTGAAATTAATTTTTGGCATGTTTTAGCTTACCTCAAGGGCATCCAAGATGTAGGTGTCTTTGTTTCCACAGTATTTTCAATTTTGATATTTTTAGGTCAAACCGTTCTTGTTTGTCAGTCGTATAATGGAGGTCTATGGTCACCACCTCAAAGAGCATGCACAGAGAAGTCCAAATTAAACATGATTTAATGACTCGTAAATGTAAGTACACATCGATGGCCTAAGACACGAAACGAGCGGTATTTATGTTTTTAATTATTACATTATAATTATTGTTGTAAAATTATTTTCAAAGTGAACTATCCCTTTAAGAGCCGCTCACACAGAACTTGTTTTTCCGTTCCAATGCACTACTTTTCAATTGTCTTTCTGGAAACACACTAGATGGACGTGTATGAGCGTTGCGCTCGCAACTTTTACAGCGTCTCGCGTCATCCTGCTTTGCACAGCATTTTCACCCCTTGTCCCACACGTCGCATATTGAGGAAATCAGTCTATTGGTTTTTAATGATCATATTAAGAAAACGTGCATGCATTCTTTTGCCTTTTTAAGAAAGCATTTTATCTATTATTTTTGCAGCGTTGTTTTTCACCTATATTTAACAGCGCTTCGTCATACGTACAAATACAACAGATGTTTTTTAGACCTTCCAACGGTTGAAGAGAAAGGAGTAAACGGCTGTCAATCAAAATGTGGAGCGGTGATTCGTTCAATGTGTTGGAATTTTAATTTAACAGAATTTATCTGTTGTTGTTTAACCTGTGGTTGTTGTAATTCACATCCTTTCTAAAAAGTTTTAAAAATTAAAGTTTTTGGTTTTTAATATATTCTTAATATATAAGCTTATCTAATTTCATATTGTTTTATATTTTATTTGTTCATTGTTTATTTTGTTGGATTTGAGTTGGACTCTATAATAGTTATCTGCATGATGCCTGCTGCCTTTGGGCTCAGTGATGTTGAATTTAAATGACATGTAAAATAAAGATTTTTTTTTTCTTGGAAGGGACTAACGAACAAAGAATTTTTTCACCTGAAAGGCAGAATACAAATGTTTTTATTAAGTTAGATAGACATTATATAACACTTTCAGGGTATGTTTTACATATCCCACATTGTCCCACATTTGGTTTGTTTGATGGTGGTCACGTTTTTTTTTTTTTTTCACCGTTGCGTTTTTACCCCATTCCACTGCCCACGTCTCGCATTTTTTAAAAACTGTAACAGATGCTCCGTCGTTTTATTGTAAATAAACAATAAAATCTCATGCAAAATTAGTAACAATATTAGTAACTTTTCCATTGAAGTTTCAATAAGAGACACTTTTACAGCACCTCTGTATTAACACTCTCATGCTCACAAAAAAATAGGATAAGGAAGGTATTCATATTCAATATATCACCCGGCCCTGATCATTTCTAATCCCAATCATGATTTTTGTCACAATTTGATTAGAATTAATGTATCCCTAAAGCAAAATCAGTGGCTCAGAAAAGCACTGGTAAAAACCCAAAACAAGGCAAATATAGATCTTAAAAACCTTAATAAAAGCACCAATCCTCCTTTCTTTTGTGAACACTGAAACTTCCTGTCTACAGCTATCAAGGCAGGAAGCAGTTCCCTCTGGGTTCTCACACAGACACATTTGTGACAGGCTTGTGGACACACTTCACCACCAATTACAGGGTCAAACTCTGCCGAAGGAGAAATCATATGCTCACTGGGCCAGGTGTTTTTATGCAAGAGAGATGAAAGAATGGTCAGTGAGTCGGCCACACCCATCCTTTCTACACCACAGACGATCACGTTCTCGTTCCACACACACACAAGAAAAGTATGTTGATTTATTCCCCCAACTGAACTATAGACGTCAGCACTATTTTATTTCATATACATTTAAATTCTGATCATGCAAGGCAAGTACCTAATGCCCACTCTCTAGGCATGTTATGAATTCACGTTACACATCCTATTTTTGTTTACACTGCAAATATTGAAAATGATGCACATTTTCTCTATTAGCTTCATGGAATACCTATATGCTACATATGCTTCCAAAATATGCAAGCTGTATATAATATTGCATCCCGAAACACAATATACATTAACATATCTCATAACTGGTATAAACCACAATTAGTATGGTCAGATGCCCCCTTAAGACAATAACGCATTTATTTGTAAACTGTAACATACAGTATTTTGATACAGGTTTAGCAAGTGCAAGATGCTGAAATAAAAAAAAAATAAAAAAATTATTTTGATTTATGTTTTGACTACTTAGATGAATAATTGAATAACCAATGCCAGACAATGCAAAGAGATTTACCTGAAAGGTAAATTTATTCTATATATATATATATATATATATATATATTTACGATTATGATTTGTATTAATATTGTAAAGCACATTGGACAATGTATTTAATTGTGCTATATAAATAAATTACCATACCATGCACATATTTTAATTGAAGATATGCCATAATAGCAACACAATGATTTCACCCGATTAAAGACGTTTAAAATGTACACACAAGTATATCTCATGGAATTACAGAATAATAACCCAGCGAATTAGGCTACAATAAGTATTAAATAAAAAAAATAGTAACACTGATAACAGTCACTCGGGTGCTTGTGTCCCAATTCTCATGGACAGAACACATTAATGTGTCCACAAATCCCTCATTAACAAATAGACACAAAAACACTTTGATATTCAACATAATACATTTTCAGATCTATCTTTCAGAGATTAGATGAATAAACCTCAAAAAATGTTTCAACTGACTAAATTGTTGATATTCAAATGAAATCGAGACGAGCACACTCATCAAATGCGTTGAGATGAGAATAAATAAATCTGAAAAGAAATTAAAGGGGGAGGGGCCTTATTAACATCTTTTTCATGATGCAAAGTTGGATTGCACTCTGAAACATTAAGACATTTTGTCATTAACACATTAAAAAGCAAAAAAAGCTTGATTTCTGAGAAGATAACTGAGCCCCTCTCGCTGAACTTGACGCTGAAGTAATGTAGCACACTCGTTAAATACGATCTTATTTACAAGATGACCACACATGGATGACATGACTATTGAAGTTGGGGGTTGATAAATAAAAGAAACCATGACAGCGTGAGTTTTCTATTCCAAACACAGCCACAAGTGTTGTGTCCCGCTTACATCAGGCATCTCGTTAAACCACACTCTATTTTGAAGGTTTGGTTCACCCAGAAATTACAATTCTGTCAATATTTACTGAACCTCATGAAGTTACAAACCAGTTCTTCCTTGGCACACAAGCAGAGATTTTTTTTTAAAGTTGTAGGCTATCACGCTTTTACATGCAACTTCAATGAATGAAGCTTTAGAGATCATAGGAGGACCATAAATGTGTCACAGGTATATTACAAATCTTATTTGACTGTTTTTTATGGAATATTGTTGCATTTATTATAATTAATTTATTCATGCACATGATTGTTTTTTTTTTAAATAATGTGCCCTTGTAATATTTAACCTTGCAGTGAAGCCTCTTCCCTTCTCTGATGATGTGTTTACTGGCATGGGGGCGGGACAACCTGTCACTCACATGAGATCAACCAATAGCAAACCACCACCATCCAATCAATTCCCCATGAACAAAACCAAGTTCCGCTGATTTTTTCTTTTTCGAGAAGCTGTTTCACTTCGATATACGTAATAATAGGGAAGAAAAGATGATCGCAACTTGTGTTTTATGTCGACTTTAAGTTCTAATAATTTGTTTTGGTTGGTGACACAAAAATGTATGATTCCTAAGTATCAAGCAGTGCTGGGCGGTATGTATATTTTTGTTATGATATTAATTTTAAATATACCGCCATACCGACGTATTTAATTTCACAACGTTACGCCGCGTCACGCAACACTGTTTCAGACGGACCACTTCTAAGCAGCGACGGTGAGGCGAGGGTAAACCAAACCGCAGTGTTCTGGTGTTACGTTACATGGCGTTATTTTCCTGTCACATGTCGAGAGCGCACTATTGTAGCGCGAAAGTAAATTAATATAATGTGCAAGTGCGAATCTCTCTGCTCGCGTGTGGAACATTGCGCACGCTCTCAGATACACGCTACTCTTGTAAGAATATTTTCTCTGGGCTCGCTTAGATAATCCTGCTCTAAGAAAGTGTTCAGTGCAATCGTGAATCTCTCTTTAGGATATAAGAACGTTTTCGTTCCCATTAAGTTATATAAACGTTATTTCTAATTGTTCTAGGAACATTCAAAACGTCCAGACATTGTTTTAACATTATTTCTTGGTTATAAGAACGTTATTCAAAACGCTATAAGAACGTTTAAAGCCACACTGCGGAAGTTTTGGCCACTAGAGGCGCTCAACCTGTAACTTTCAAGTCTAGCGTCCCTAGAGGCCACAAGCTCTGCAAATTAAAGTCAACCGGTCAGCTTACCGTGTCTTTAGATTGTGTGTGCTTGCAGTGTTTGAGGCTGTGGCCGGAATACCAGAAAATACTACACTGCTTATATGAATTTATGTGGGTTACCTTGGAAACGGCATTTGTGTGTAGGCAAGCGTCCGCATCGGTCGAGCACCCTTCCACTCGCGAAAGCTAGACCAATGTGTTAATCCTCGTCCTGGCTTATAGTTTGCCACCCTCCCCTTTTCTTTTTTTAGTTTCCTCTAATAAAACCGTTCTTCCTT